GAAGAAGGTTGAACTAATGGAATTTGGATTTTCAGTATTTAAGCTAGTAAGCCTGGGTAGCAATCTTTACTAACTAAGGTCTATAAACTTTTAATAATAATAATATCTCAACTTAAAGAAAGTAAAAATTTTGATTTACGGTTCTAAATAATTTTTCAACGTGTATAACCAATAGAAATAGGGAAAATTTGCTTTACATTATTGGGCAATAACTTAAACATGTATTCACCTTGAAATCACTTGGGTGCATTCGGATCCTATTAACACTAAAAACTTGTGACACACAATTATACAGATCAATATCCAACTTAAAACACTTACGAATCTTATTTCCCGGATACTCTGTCAATGCTGAAACACTTACAAGTCATATTTATCGGGATTCTGTATCAACGCTGAAATATCTAAGAGTAATTTCTATCTGAATTTTTATCGATACTGAAATGTATAAGGCATTTTGAAGACATTTAAAACTACCAATAAAAATCTAATTAAAAATAATGACTCATATTAATGAATATTAATAGTACACGTTTCTTAGACGTAGATGTGCCTACGTCTAAGAATCGTGTACTATTAATGTTTGAAATAAAATATCCTATTTGAATTGCACGAAAAAGTTAAATATTTATTAATATTTTGTTGTTCTATTAGCCAAAGTATATGCATAAGCAGCATGTAATTGCATGAGGTAAAAAGACATGTTAATTCACCTCAAAACATACATGCATTACGTTTATCATTAGTCGTAGATAGAAGTAAACAAAAAATAAAAAACGCACTCAAATATACATATATGTATATATATAAAACACAACAGTACGTGAAACACATATGTACAGAAACGCTAATATTGAGAATTGGCTCATTTGAAAAATAGATAGATGGACAGACAGACAGACAGATAGATAACGTTTATGAAAGTAGAGCCTTACTAAGAAGATCTAACGATATACGAATTATTTGTTTTCAAATACGCGATTACAACAAAGGCGACCGTTGATAAATCACTCATAATTAAATGTTATTTCTAATGTAATACGATCAGGTGGCGCTGCAGCTCTGTTGTCAGCCTACACTGGAAAGTCAATACCGCTTGATGTTTCTCCTTGCGCTTACCGGACCCCACACGTATTCAAATGTTTCCTCATTAGCAGCGATAGGAAAGATTTACATCAAGAAAAGAGTTAGCGAAAATATAATATTATAAACTGAAATATCCGTTCTATAGCCTAGCAAAGACAGCAGTTGTCATTCGCAAAGGTGGATAAGGTTAGAATTGAGCGCTGACAACTTCCTACCTCAACACTCATCACTCGGAAAAAGAGGGCGCCCTTAGCAAACATGTTAATATTTCCAGCTTGAATTACTTAGGTTTCCTGTTGATACTAAAGAAGAAAAAAAACAAGACTTGGAAAAATTATTTCATTGATTTGAGGACATTTTATTACTTCTAAAAACATTTCCATATACGTCAATATAAATATACAGAAAACTGACTCATCAACGAAATATGTTCAAAAGTAAAAAACGAGAAGGAATCAGCCATCAGTCAGTTATAAAAACATGCAGTCTTATCAGGAATCAGCCATCAGTCAGTTATAAAAACACGCAATCTTATCGCAGAGTCGGAGATCAAATCGTATTGCAACTGAATTGGGCGCGCGCGTGTGTGCGACGTCAAAGATTTTAATTGTGAAACTTAACTGATCTATAACGCTTATATGTATCTATCTATGTTATTCAGTTAACAAATACCAGGCGGAATGCTGGCCACACAACGAGGGTATGTTTCATACACAACTTCATATCTTGAGATATTTTCCAGTAAAGTCTAAGGAGTAATAATAATATGTTACACGCTTCCGTCATTTGTTAATGTGCTTGAGGAACCGAGTTGATTTAACTTTGCCACGGATACTCGTTTCCATATTCAGTTTCCAAGCGTGTGTTTCAAAACAAAGAAAATAATAAGTATACGTGCTATTCAAAATGATGGTAAATGTCAGATGTGGATTTCTGTAACACAGCGTTTTCCCGAAGAATTCCAAAATCACAAAGACAATATGGTTTGAAGCCTAATTAATATACATGGTAGGCAATTGTGTGATATTCCATCACACCAACACTGATGATAAATTAAATCACGCCATTTTTCACCGGCTCATTGGCAAAAACGTGACTTAAATTAACATTTGCAGTGTTATTGTGATGGAATATTACATATTTTACCTACAAAACTTGGCCAGTTTAGACATCGTAGGCCACAAAATATTTGTTAATGGTCTAGTCCTAGTTTAGTGATTCCATTATGTAAACACCCATTTCCAATCTTAGAGAGACGACGTAAGTACAAATATTACTTTCAAAGAAATCGAGACGTCGATTTCTAGAATATACATGCATGTACTTATATGTATCATTAACTGAAGTATCGAACAATTAATTAAGTGTTCGTATCCACATAATTTGAACAACTGGTGCCATATAAGTCTCGATATAGTGTAAAAGGAAATGCATTTCACTGTCAGTAACCATCAATCGAAACTGTAGTTACTTTATCTAGTTGTTGTTGTTGTTTTTGTGGAAAGCTACAGAATTGGGCATCTCCGCTCTGTTCACCACGGAGAATCGAACCCCTACTTTTAAGGCAGAACCTTAAACAAAAATTACTTAAGTGAACTCAGCATTGTGGATCACTATGTAAACCGACATCTGAGTTTTTCTTTACAAACAGAAATTCTTGCTACACCTAATGATTTTCTTGACCGTAAATATAGAGAAGCCTTATATATTTTGAAGATTTAACCACAAATTAATCGTGACATAGGATGGGCATTATGAGTGTAAATCTTTGTTTATGCACCTATAGTTTGCTTCACTTTTCAAATTATTTTTTCGTTTTTTAATTACACTTTATTTTACATGTGTTTATTTCACGTTCCGCATCTCCTTTTACGCCAATATTCAAATGATTTTTACTATAATTTTACATTCGTGTTGCGAAACATTGATGTTGCTGTACATATATATTTTTTGTTTCAATGTAAGCAATATTATCCGCGTGACCTTTTTACGTTTACACATTCTTCAGTGATTTATAGAACAAATTAAAAAAGTGTAATTTGTTACGCATTGTGAATCTGGCAGTGTAAATAGTAGGATGCTCCTGAAGAAGTTGTAGAAACAAAACGTTAAGTGAAATGAATATAACCTTATTGTGGAGTTTATGACCAATTTTCATCATACAAAATGTCTAAGTTACTCCAGTCAGCACTTCGTAGTGTGAACTCTTCTGTATTTATTCCTAAATCACATAATAATTGATTACTTAAAAGTAAATTACAAAGTACTGTCTAAGCTATCATAAGAACCTTTGTAAACTATATTTATATCTGCCAACTGGCGGCCCGGTATGGCCAGGTGGTTAGGGCGCTCCACTCGCAATCCTCTAAATTAGGGACAGCCCTCGTGTAGCTTTGCTCGAAATTCATAACAAACAAACAAACAAACAATCTGCCAACTGTTGTTCTTCAAATACTGTTTGTTAACCTTAAGAAGGTCACTGGTGAGCCAATGACCACACCGGTCTTACTACCAATAGCTAAATCCCTAGAACTTTTTATTTGTTAATAATCAAATAATGTTATTCATTCAAGGCTTTCTTATTTCTTTCTACAGCTAGTGAAACATGTGTAACATTATTTCTTGTAGATTTTTTTTTCTATGTGTGAGCATGAAAGTAACTAGATAAATCTTAAATATTCATATGATAATTTTCTTCGGCTATTACCAACGTAGACGATTCGTTAATTTTCAGTCTAGAAACACTAAATTCTATACTTGTGTCAACAATATGTAGTCAATATCTGTATACCGGATGTTATGCCATCCTTCTTTCCAAGCCATTATACATATAATAACGTTACTTACATTCTACAAAAGTTTTGTTTAAAACAACCCCCCCCCCCCAAAAAAAAAGGGTGTGGTAATTATTTTATCAGAATTAAGAGACGTAAACAAGGTATTAATTTCTAACCAGCGTTACTGAAGTCCATGATGTTACGGTTGTTAGATAATACTTAAAACCTTTATGTGCATAAATAGTATCATGTTATAAAGACTCAGAAACCAATCATTAAACGACTGTCATTTTGTTTCATCTCCTATACAAAGATCGCTTTGACCTGACCTCTGGAAAACCTACTGAAAGAAAGCTTACAACAACATAACAACCTGGGTGGCTTGGGTCTATTTGTTAAGGTTTTGATTACTTAATTTCAGAATCTGTGCTATTATCACTTTGCAGAGACTTGCGGGATGGCAACATGACATCGATAATTTACATTTGGGAATTAGTTTCAAGGGATTTAATTCCTTTTTCTTGTGCTTTTGTTTTTCAATTTCGAAATTCATGTTGCTCGTGCTTTGAAGATACAGTCAGGTTGGCAATATAGTATTAGTAGTTCACAAAGAAAATTAGTTGCAAGGGATTTAGTCCCTATTTAGTGCGGTTCCGTGTCTCAGTTTCAGAAATCCCTTCATGCTGCTTCTGCCTTGAAATTACAAGCTGGTTGGTAATAATGTAGCATCAGAACTTCATCATAGAGAATTAGTTGAAAGGGATTTAGTTCCCATTTACTACTACTCTGTATCTTATTTTCAGAATTCATGTTGCTAGAGCTTTGGAGATAGAGGTTGGTCGGAAATAACATAACATCAGTACTTTGCCACAGAATTAGATTCCACGGATTTAGTACTACGCTGGCTCTTATTTTCAAAATTCAAGACAAAAAGTAATAACATATCTTATCCTATTGAGTGAACTATGTGTTCTATGTCAAACGATCTTTTCCAGTTGTAATTAACATGAAGAAAGAGAACATAAGCAACAAGAGAAAGGTGGCGAAAAATAATAACACTTAGTTATTGAAACTAGATTTGTGGCATATGTTTCAATATGGTTACAATTACTGGCATTGTTTTTATTACTATGATACCTTTGAAACATTACAGCGATTCCAGTAGCGAAAAAGTTATATTTAACAATAATAACCAGAGTGATGTCAATATCAAAAACAAATAATGCTATAACCAGAGTGATGTCAATATCAAAAACAAATAATGCTATAACCAGAGTGATGTCAATATCAAAAACAAATAATGCCATAACCAGAGTGATGTCAATATCAAAAACAAATAATGCCATTGTTTGCTTCTCTGGCTATAAAACTTTTATTTGTTCTTTTTTTTTTGTATAACTTTCAAGCAGCCATACACGTTAGATGTTGAATTTTTGCTGTGTCAAAATAATGCTTCAAACTGGAAATATCCGAAGTATACTGGCCATTTTTCATCCTACTTTTTACAAGGTGGCATTTGGCAATATATTTCAATAAATTCTGCCCCTAATTTAAATTCTACCTTATAGCTTTACCAGAAGCATGAAGTGTTAATTTCAGTGGTTGATGATCAGTAAATTAATCTTATATGAAGCATGTCTATAATTATGATTCCTATGCAAGTAGAACATGATTGAAGATAATCAAATATATTAAATAAATTCAAAATACTTACATTATACTGGGTTAAAAGAGGCATTACAAACATAACAAATATAACTATCCTTAGAACGTGTTGACTTATTTAAGAGTAAACACTTATATAATTTAAAATATCATTGGAGAAGACAAACAACATTCAGTTTACGTCCTACAACTTACAGCAAATTAAAGTTTTTGATCACGATCGAATACAAATCCTCAACTCAACCCTAAGCTTTAACCATGTTTCTGACATAATAAGAACAGACAAACAAAAATATCTAGTCATATGAATAACATGAATTTGTATGTAGATTAACCATTATTATAATAATAATCGTCATTAGTTTTCCTCAATAAAAAAACAATCAACAAGTAACTCCCCTTTTTTCTCTCGCCCGGTTATGTGTAGAACGTTACTTGAAACGTTGCTTGAAGTGAGTAAAGCAAAAGATCGATCACAAATGTTTTCCTTCGACTTTACTGAACTAAGTATGGAATAAAGGAAATGTTGTAAGGCAACATTTTATTTGTTGGTCGCATACTGGGTATTGCCTGAGAGGAGATCACGTGGGAATTTGTTCTTCCCACAAGCTCAATAATAGTATCACTTTGATTCTTGTACGTATCAAAGACTTTGAAGTACTAAATGTATCACTAAAAAAGTTATATCCAAATGTATCACTGTCAAAATTTACATTCAAAACAGACTTTGAAGTGCTAAATGTATTATTGTAAAATTTACATTCAAAACAGACTTTGAAGTGCTAAATGTATTATTGTAAAATTTACATTCAAAACAGACTTTGAAGTGCTAAATGTATTATTGTAAAATTTACATTCAAAACAGACTTTGAAGTGCTAAATGTATCACTGTTAAAGTTACATCCATAACAGATAAAGAATGGCATCCATATTAACTATTTTGAAACAACGATATTCTGCTGTAAAACTGATATATTATGTCCGATGAGTAAAATTACAGTTATGACACTTGGGACGTTACTAACTCCTGTGTTCAAGGCTTTTAGTATCCTAGTTTCTAGATAAAGTTATAAGTAAAGACGGGATTACGCATTTTTCATAATCTCCTGAGGAGGAAAGAATTTAAAATTATATATAAACTTTATCAAACTAGCTGCAGTATCACAAAATGTTACATTTGTTCTGACGCTTACTTATATACATAATAATATGGCGAAACATAACGTTCACATTAGATGTAATTGAAAGTAGCTGAGAATTCCCTTCCGTGAACTAGTCTATATTTAGCGGGTTGGAATTATTAATTAATCTATTGGCATTTCTAGACTTCCCGAATTGTATTTCTATGAATAAAACACATTTTTCTTTCTTTCTTCTTATTGCTGCCCCACTATGGCTCAAAGGGCCATTCTGTGGGCTTATAACGTTACAAACTGGGTTTCGATACCCGCGGTGGGCAAAGTACAGTTAGATCTTTGTGTAACTTTGAGCTTAACAGCAAACAAAAAAATCATTAATACTTTTCCTTAATGGAAAAAATTACAATAATCACTCTCACAAATCTGTATCAATAGATTGTCTGCAAAAAAATTATATTACATTTGGTACAATCATTACACAATGCAAAAAATGTTAAATAAAGATATAAAACAATATAACAAATGCACTATCAAGAAATCTTCAATAAAATGCAAACTAATTTACTAAGATATTATACAATCACATAGATATACGCATATTCAATTGGGTATACATATATGTATATATTTACATATACAAAATAAAACACAAAATTTAGAATTGTAAAAGTTTTTATTCCTTTCCAGATTTTCATCTAAAGGTGTTATTCAGAGTAAAACCACAGAGCATAAAAGCGAAATACCACACACACACATGTAAAACAAAATTATATACAGACTAATCCTAGTCTTCTTTCTTCAAGTTTTTTTTTTTTTTTCAAATTCTAGTGGTTTTATGAGCCCATACTGACATATAACCAAGTGAGCAACCAATTCACAGAGAAGGAAGGGACCTACATTAGCGAATAAATACGACTAACAGAAAGTAGGTTTAAAAACCAAAGAAAAACATTAATAATACTAGGAACAAGGTAGTTAATGAAAAGGTAAATAACTCTGAGTCTTTGAGACATTGACTTTTTTTTTAACATAATCAGGACACGAAAGTAACACACGATAAGTGATCTCTAGAGAAGTTCTGTAGAAAGAACAACATGGCCAAATTTATGTAGGGTATAGTTCCATTGACAAGTAGCCAGTTGTAACCGAGCAATTACAACATCTTGATGTCAATTTTTAGTATAGTACAAGTTTTGAGTAATGATGTAGGAAACAAATTATTAGTATGCCGTCCAACAAAAGGAATTCAACCAATTTCCTGACCAGAAGAATATGAGTTTTTTATTGAGCAAATTTAAGTAATAGGAACTACATAACGGAAGGGCTATCGTGAAGCAATCAAAAGACACTGCCGCTTTTGAAGCCACGTCAACTCATTCATTTCCATGGATATCTAGACACAATTAATTCTTCAATCATTATGGGTAAAGCAGTTATAGAGAACTCAACATTCCTACAACAAATCAGAGTGATAACATGCTCCTCTATGCAAATTTATGCGAGACAGCAGCCTGAAAAAATTTGAAAGCATAAGAAAAAGCATTAGGAGTATTAACTAACCGGAATAATGTTAATATAATGTTTACAAGTTCAGCAACAAAATTACTAGAGTGATTCTGAAGACAATAAGACAAAGGTATGTCGAAGTTCTGGGCATAAACAGCAGAGGTGGTGTTTCCAGTAGAAGTGTTTTATGAACCATCCATATAAATTATCAAGTAGTCTTGAAATTGTGAAATATAACCAAGACACTTTTGTAAAATAGCTCCATTTCTAAGGAGTTCTGTAAGATTGTGGTCAACAAACCTCAAACTTCATACAATGAATAATTTTAAGAGACGAATGAGAGAAAAAAAAAGAAACTCTAAAAAGAGAATAAAAATGTCAGCACACATTACAGAAATAGAACGCGGAGTAACATCTTATCAATAGTGATAAAGGAAGAAAAGGTTATTGAGGAATGAAAGAATAGAAGTCGCAAAACGCTATAAATATTTACGTCTCCACTGACCTATCAAATACCGTTGTCGTAGGATTAGAATTGCCTCAAAATTTTCTAAACCAGATGGAACGAGTACAGTTATTATTCTCCAACAAATACGCAAAGCCTTATTTTGATGGACATATAATAACCAAATTCCACATAAAGGAGCAGAATTAAAAAGTGCTTAACCGTAATCCAGTTTTAAACGAAGTGGAATACAATATAATAACAAACGAGTGTGACTATCATCTCTCCATGATGTATCAGAGACAGCTGTAAAAACATTCATATGTTTTAAACAAGCAATTCCAACGATTATCCAGTATCATTTCAAGGTATTTTTTCTGTTAATAATTGAATATCCATCTCTTTAATACAAATTTCCAGATGTCTGTGTTTTTTTATGTGGAATAACCATACAATTACATTTCAACGTAGAAAAGGAAAACCCCCAATTATCAGCCCAGGTTTGAATAAAGTCAAAGTCTCTTGAAGAGTATGGCATATGAAACAAAGAACACATCCTTGTCTCCAAATTGAAATATCATTTGTATAGAAGCACTAAAATTAATTAGACTGGGACAAAACTTGGAGCCCTGATTAACCCCTCTAGTAAATGCTCTTATACAAGATCGAATATTTTGAATTTTGACTGCAAATGTTCGCCCATGTATATGATTGTACAGCCATCACAAAATTGTACATCAGTATTCAAGAGTATACATGTTTTCGGAGTAAACCACCAACGATAAGATCAGCGTCGAAAAGCAAATAAACGGTTAAATTCAGAATCACACCCTAATACATGTCTAGGAGGATTTTTATTACGACTACCTGGGCAAGGGTTTGAAGGGTTTGGTATCCAAGATGCTTTTCTGCTGCCTTAGTAACATTGTTAATTCTTGCCGAGTAGGCACTGACCTCTGTAACAACCATTTAGAAGTTCAGTTACCAAAGAAACAAAGTATACTTGAGAAGATGGAAGAATGGTTTGGGCAAAACTGTTAACTGTCATAGTGTGAGTTGCAACTGAAACACAATCCGACAAAGGATGCCCCTCTGGTAGAAGCTTTGTCAAAAATCAAACAAGCTTCTCTAGAAGATAAATATTTTTCTTTTCTTATTTGTTCAATATCCTTGATTTGTAGACTAACGGTTCTCAACCTGTGGTCCTCGTGCATTCCTTAAGAAGGTCTGTGGAAAGATTGCATGATTACGAAAAGGAAGCGACATAGTGTAATGATCCCACTGTGGTCCACCGAGATAAAAAAAAAATTCAAGTGGTCCATGAACGAAAAGTCTGAGAACAACCGTTCTAGACGAATTGAGCACTGTGAAAATTGTGCAGAATGTGCTCCATTGAACTTAATGGATTCCTTGAACAATCTGATGTGAATTACCACATTTAGGACGCTGAGTCCTACCTCGACACTAAGGAGAAATATGTTCAAAGTGATAACAGTGAAAACACTGTTCCGGATTTTGATTTGAGGCCTTACAGAAAAGTGTTCAAAACCAATACTAATGTGAGTGAGTAAAACTGATCCCTCAAAATTGA